TGACTAATTATTAGTATGAATAGGTCACACTGAAATTTCTGCTCAATTATCAGTGGTGCTATTAATTTTTTTTATTGCTTTACAGTGGTTTATAAAATTAACAGTATAACGAAAATGTAAAATAAAAAAAAAAAGAAACCAAGAGAGGTTTTTTTCAAATACAGTAGTTGCTTATCATAGTTTAATTGTAGTGAAAAAAATTAGGAATCGACTTTTACTTTTTTTTTTTTTTTTAAATTTTATAGTTTTATTTTGCTGCAAACATTTCGCAACAATGGCAGAAATTTTTTTACAAATAATTATCTTTTAAAAATAAGCACACAGACAAACTGTACAGTTCGCACAGATTGATGTAGATTAACCGGCACTCCGGTTAACTGTTCTACAACCATTCAATGGCCATTTCAACAACCGGTCTTCAGTATTCAACTGCCAATATAATAACGGCTCTGAGTAATGAGACAGTTCTATGTGTACGTGTGTAAATTATTTATTTCATGTCCAATTTCAAGGTTATTCATACGAGGAGAGTATCAGCTGAGTGATGGATTGGGATGCGGCGGGGTGCGGGGATGGTTAGTTTACCACATGAGGTGGTTGAAATGCAACTGAAAGCTACTGGTTTTTCTTTCTCTGCTTTTTTTTTCCATTTTTGTAGTTGTTTCACTAATTCAGTAGATTAAGAGATTTGCGGGTGGTAGAAAAAAGTTGTCAAATAACGTATTATGAAAAGGAAGGAAAGATACAGTAAGCAGTATGGTTTAAAATAATGGAAAAAAGTGAGATAAGCGAAGCCACAATAACGGCAGCAGTGGTACGAATTTGATTAAAATGGATTCTAAAATTTCAATCTTGCTGTGTTTTTCTGTAAATCAAAATTTATCGAAAGCAGTATCACGAGCACAGAGATATAGAGCCTTGGAAAAAAGGCATTCAAGAGTGAATGTGATGGGGAAGCAGAATGTATTTGCATTCCAAAAAACTTTATTTGTATATCTGATGTATACATATGTCATTTTTTCTTTACTCTAAGTTTTTTAGAGCGAAATAATCACAGTAAATTTGTTTATTAAAAAAGTTTTTATGCGATTTTTTTAGTTTTTTTGCTTAAGATCGGAAGGACGTTTATGAGGAATTAGGCTGAGAGAAAAGTGAAGTGGGGGTAGAAGAGGGGTAGAAACCGAGTACGGAGGATGGTGGAACAGTGAAGAATAAATATGTATGGTCATGGGAGGGAGCGGTGAAGGAGGTGACAGTGACAGCAACATCTGAAGCAGTATATTTAGCAGAATCTTCTATTTGACTCATTTGATTAAAGCTTAACGATAACAGTGACGGTGGTGATACCGATGCTTCGTTACTTTGCCGAACTCATCGAATCTTCGGTCAGCAAATGTTTGCTTAAATGAGTAAATAAATATGTATGGATCTGCATACGTTTAGTTGTTCTTTGATGCTGATTTGGTGGAGCTCAGTTGACAGTCGAATGCTGGAGTTGAGGCAGCACAGGGATTGAGTTAATAAAAAAATTGAGTTTTTTTTTCAAAGAAAAAAAAATTTACAACATATTAAAAAATTGGTGGATCTGACTAATATACATGAGAAACAAAAAAAAATCGCACGTTCTCTAGCAATGTTTACCTGAGCATATGTTGTGTTGTGCTCCGTGTGTGTGTGTGTGTCTGTGTATCATTGGTATTCTTGTGTTAGTATATTTTGAGAAATACACACATCTATTCATAGGGACATAAACGACACACAAACACAGACTTACACGAAACACTTAAGACGAATCTGTTACAGAATTTGTATAAGCAAAAATGACGATGATGATGATGCTGGTGCTGATGCTGATGCTTATGATGACAGCGATGGTGATGATGATCAGCGGCAGCAGCAGCAGCAGCAACAACAACGGCAGCATCATCATTACAGCTTTGACAACCAATATGTGATGCAATCAGTGCTATTCTTATACTGAGCTAAACTTTAAGTTTCTTTTTTCTCCTTTTTTCAAATTTTTTTTTTGCTTTCTGGTTGACACTTAGTTCATCAAAAAATTAAAAATATTCGTTGTTTTTAAAGAAGAAGAACGAGTATTATAATTCTTCTATTTTTTATTTATAGACTTTATCAATTTTAATAAATATTTGGTTGTCGGATGAAGAAACAAATGATGGGTAAAACAGTTTTTAAGCTGCATCGTCGTCGTCGTAGACGTTATTAGTTAGCCAATTATCAAAAAAAAAAAAAAAATTTTTTTACAGTTTTATTAGTTTTTGTGAATCCTCAAACTACAAAATAAATACTCATAATGGTGATGACGATAGTGTTTGTTGTCGATGACGGTATAGTAAAATTTTTGACCTATATAATTTGTTTCAATTAAATATTGGTTTTTGCTCCACTAACTCGAAAAATTTATCCATTCCTTTGTTTACTGCATCATTTTAATCGTCAGATTCTCAGTTTACAGCTTCTTCCTTTTAGATATTAATTATTTTAGTTGATTAATTATATGAGGAGGAAAAAAAATAATCCAGTATTCAATCGATTCCTTTCTTTTTTTCTGCACATAAATCTGCTGGAATTTATTTTTAGTCTTTTCTCTTCGTTGTATACACAGCACAATATTTACTTGTGCATAAAAACTCGCACATTACAAATTGGGGGAGCCAAAAAAAAAAAAAAAAATTGAAATGAAATGAAAATTTTAATAAAGGAAAAGGTGTAAAATGATGACTGTTTTATGAATTGCACTATTTTTTCAAGACAACGAAATTAAGATAGATGAGAAGAAGAAATACAAAAGAACTTTTTTGTTTTTGGATGTAAAAGTAAGGATTAGATAATAAAAATTTTTTAAATGCTTTTAAAATTGTCGACCTTTTTTTTTTGTTTTTGTAATAAAAAAGGTTTTTTTTTTTGCTGTTCTTGTTGTTTCTGCTATTGCCATAGAATTATCATATCTAAAATATACAGTTTAATAGAATTGAAAAGAATGAATAAAAAACAGTTAAAACTACATATAAATTTTTTTCACTTTTTTTTGCTGTTCTCTGTAATTTTTCACAATTAAACAAAACAGTGTAAATAGAAAAAGAGATAGACTCAATAGTATCTGTCTGAAATGGGTGAAAAGGTTTCTGAATTTGCGAAGAAGAAGGCTGGCAGACGGAGAGCCACGAATCCTAGAACTGAACGCTGTTGTTTGTAGAATCTTTAGCACTATTTGAGTGCTGTTAAGTTTTTCACATTCTTTTTATTCTGTGCTTATAAGTTTTAGTCATCGCCAATTCTGTACTACTTCAATTCTATCCTACCGAAACAGTTTCTTGTTTTGCCAGCTGCTCTTGTTAGACAATGTATATCATTAAATTTTTGCAAAATCAAATGTAATCGGCGACAGTTTCAAGCGTTGTTACGTTTTTTTTTGCCAGAACAATGATAGGTTTTTATTCAATTTGTATAATAGATTTGCAGCTATAATAGCATCAACAATACTGATGCTGTCCATCGCCGTATTGGTGGATATTCTGCTCACCACGACACTTACTGAACAATTTTGTTCATCTGATGGCATTGGGGGAGTAACTGTATGCCAATCATAGCTTAACAATTGTTTTTTTTTTCCTGTTTATTCGTTGTCAAAAGATTTTATGGACAAATTACCAAATAAGTGGCAAAAAAGCGAAAATAAATTGTGGAAACAACTGTTTTTTTT